TGCGTGAGGGCTGGGGAGCCAGCTGGACACATCTGGGCAAAACCTGTCAGCTGGTAGGTCCGACGTCCCCAGACAGCCCCGGGGCCCGCAGCCTCTGCACCTGCTGGCCGAGCACTGGCACCCAGAAGGGCCAGGGAGCCCCGGGCTTGGGGCCACGCTGATGGCAGGGCAGAGAGCAAGCCCTAGGCCTGCGTGTGTGAGCACAGACGAGGCTGCCAAGGGGGGCCCAGCGCCCAGCCCTAGTGCTATGGGTGCCTCGGCGGGCACAGGGCAGCTGGCACAGTCAGGGTGGTACGGGGCTCAGTGCCACCGGGAAAGACAAGACACGACACGCCACGCCACGCCACACAAGGGCACAATTCTTATCCTCAGGCCACAGGACATTGTCACAGCTCCACTGCAGGACAGCCCCATGAGGGTGGTGTCTGGTCACGGGCAGGCAGGGACTACCTGCGTGCACATGTGGTGCGGCCTTGCCCTCCTGGGTCCCACCTCCTCATCGCCCCTCACTGCCTCCTCTGGACACGGCTCCACCAAGCCGTCCTGCCCACTGCACTGATGGCCTCGGCCGCGCCAGGTCTGATGGAGTGTCCTGTGCAGAGGAGACGATCCCGCGGGAAGACATCAGCGCCTCCTGTCCCACCACACGAGGCACAGCTGCCCAAGGGGACGCAGGCAGCATGCCAGGTCCTCTTCTTCCCACAGCCAAGACCCGCCCCATTGCACAACAGGACTTTTCTCACGCAGACCCCTTCGCGCCCGCCCAAGCGGCTCCCTGCAGGCAGGCCCCTCAGAGCGGGTCTCTGAGAGTGGGTCTCTGAGGGCTCGGCCCTGCCAGGCTGCAGAGCTGACCTCTGCGGCAGCATGGCAGCCCTCCCGTGAGGTCGCTCGTCTGGACACAATGCCCACATCGGACTCTGAGAGAGCCCAAGGGCCTGGTGGTTCACATAGAAGACGAAAAGCCAAATGCGTGTGACACCGTGGCCCTCCCGCCGGCTCAGTGGCTATTTTGTGCTGGCCATCAGCCGCCCCGTCTGCTCTCTGTCTCTGCCCACCATGGGTCTGGCCGGCCTGCAGACCCCAGCATGAGGAAGGGGGCCTCCGCTGTGACCTGCTCCCAGCTTCCTGTGGGCCCACGGGCTTGGCCACTGGGAGGCCCAGGAGAGGAGGAGGACAGAAAGGAAGACGGGGCAGGAGGGAGGGAT